AAATCGGAGGGAGAGATGAACCATGAGAGACTATGGACTCTGAGAAACGAACAGGGTTTTAGAGGGGAGGGGGGAGAGGGGATGGGTTAGCTCGGTGATGGGTATTAAGGAGGGCACGTATTGCATGGAGCACTGGGTGTTATATGAAAACAATGGATCATGGATCACCACATCAAAAACTAATGATGTATTGTATGGTGACTAACATAACATAATAAAATTTTTAAAAAAAGGATAGATAGACTTGGTTTTGGCAGAATCGCTAGTGAACCTTCTTAGTTACACAAATGTAAAATCCAACCGGCAATGTTATCAAATAACTCAAATGCCAATGCTTCTGTCTAAGATGTTAACTTTTCTGTTTATGCTCACTTTGTTCATTTCCGTCATGCTCATTTATGAAATGGTCATATATTTTAGCAGAATGGTTTCCAGGAAAATCTGGCTCCTGTTAATCTTCTTCCTCGCTTTTATTTTCCTCCCTGAATCCAGGTTTAGACGTCCCTAGAACTGCCATATATTGTGTAGCCTGTGGAGTTTGTGTCCAACGTTTTGAGCCCTTGTTTGTAGGGGCTATGATAAAATGCAGAAGTGGGATGAGATGAAAACTGGGGTCAAAAGGTAAGTGTGACTAGATTTTGAATCCTGGTTGGAATGACACATGGGTTACAGGAAACCCTGAACACATTATTCTCTTTTATAAAATTGCTCCAAGGCTTCTTGGAATAAAGACAAGGTCCTTTATCAACAGCTGCCTAGCTGTCTGGCACCTCTTGTGGATATACAGAACCCACACACCCAGACATTCATGCATACATACAATGCACATAGGCGCATATAAGGCACTGGCTCATGCATGCACACATACACACAAGCACACCATACATACATGTGCACACATATATGCTCGTGAGCACACACATACATGTGGACACTAACACACACATGCAGCCACACTGTCTCCTCTGCCTGAAACATCTTGACCTGCCCCCAGAGCCCCCCCTTGCCCCTCACCTGGCTGGCCCCATGCATGCCTCACTGCCTCTAAAACCTTTTCTAACCCCCTTGGATGGGACCACTTACCCTCCCCACCAGCCAGCTCCCTGGTGCTGCCTGAATGAGAGGTTATGACACTGTTTTCCAATCACTTGTTTACTAGTCTCTGGCTCCCAACTACCAGCTGTAAATAGTGGATGAGACCTAAATTTCTCCCAGAAATTTACACAGTCATAGCTCTGATTGGCTGGTTTCAGAATGAAACCTTTGGTGTGGTCGCCAGAGAGGAGGAGGAATTTAAAAAACGAGTCTTGGGAGGTGGAGGAAGAGCATTCCTGGCATCTCTGAACTGTATTTATCAGAAGTTACTTCCATTTCCTACTCTTAAATCCCAGTGCCAGAACATCCCAACATTATTCATAACAGAGCCTTGCAGAACTTCAGTCCAAGGCTCCCTGAGTGCTGTTTGGAGTGTCTTCTAGTCATTCTGTAGAAAGCAGTCAATATATGTTGGCTTTTATTCCTAACATCTGGTCTCCCCATACTACACTATCTACACCTTTAAAGGGTGGGAACTGTGTCTCCCAAATCTCTTGTGTCCTCTTTGTCTCCCAAGCACTAATATAGAATTCACATATAATAGATGCTCAAAATGTTTTGTGTTTTTTTTTTACTTAGAGAACTTGATCCAATTTACCTTTCTCTTGTGAACTGTGCCCACAGCCACCCAGACATACCCAGTCTCAGTTGTGGGCCCTGCACCAAGCTGGATCAAGTTGAGTTACCATGAGTGAAGGAGATGAGCAGGCATGGGGAGGTGACAGGGGCTAGGCAAACCTTGGAACCAAAGCACCAAAGCTGATCCCAGGGCAGTGCCAAACAGAAGGCAGGTGGGATGTGAGGGGGAGTGAAGAGGAAGCTGGAGGAGCTGAAGCTCTAGTAGCAACTGGGTTGGTCCAATGTTGACCTCAGGGGCCCAGGCTTAAAATCCAGGGCCTGCTTGAAATACTTGGATGATTCCTCCAGGTCTCCTGGATAAGTGTAACCTCCCTCACAAGGCATTCATAGCCAGGCCCCGCCTAACTCCTCATCTTCATTTTCTACAACTCCTCAGCCATAAGCCCTGGGTCCCAGCACATGATGCCTCACCACATCCCAGAAGTGCTAGGAGCTCTTCTCCATCACACCTCCCAGAGTTGTTCTCTCTGCCTAGAAATGCCCATGCCCACATTCTCTGACTGGAAAACTACTCTTTCTTTGAGGCCCAGACTAAGTACCCTTTCCTTTTTGAAGCCCTGCCCAGGCCTCTCTGCTAGCTCTGCCTCTGTGCCACAGTGGGCACCATCCACCATGCTACCATGGCTCTCCTTACACTCTATCCTGAACGATCGGCAAGACCCAAGTGATCATGCACCAATCCATCTCAGACTTTGTACTTCTTCAACACCTTTGGTGTTCCAGCAGCTACTCTGGGTACTGGTGACCCGAAATTGAACAGAACCCACCCTCCAAAAGCACAGAGTAGTCTCAACACAAACACACAGGTATGACATGATAGCCAGGTGATAAAGTAACTGGGGCATATGAGGGCAATGGAGAGGCAGGGTAAGAATCTGAACTTATTAAAGGCATCAGGCCAGCATGTCTCTCCTCGGCTAAAACCCTTCCCATAGCTTCCCTTCACACTTAAAGATAAACTGAAGCCCTCATTTTGCCTTTAAGGCCCCCAGGACCCAGCCCCTGCTGGTCTTGATCACCTCTTAACCCTCTCCCTTGTTCTCCAGGCTCCAACACCCCTGCTTCCCACTGCTGTTTGGACACACCAAGCCCCTTCTGTCTCAGAGCCTGTATGCTTGCTATTCCTCTGCCTCATCACTCCTAGTCCCACTCGCTCCTGTCCTTCAGCCTCAGCTCAGATGTCACCTCCTCAAAAAGAGTCACCTCCCCTGCCCACCTTCTCCAATGTTATATCTCTCAATACTTACCACCCTCACCCTCTATCATGTAAACTGCCCTTGTTTGTTTGTTTTCTTCTTTGATTATTTGCCTGTTCAATGTTTCCCCCACTCAATTATCAGCTCCAAAGAAGCTTGTTCTTGTTTGCCATCCTTTCCCCAACTCCCAGAATAAGAGTGGAATAAAAATGTGTGGAACAACATCAGGGTCAGATGGGCCAGAATGACCTTGAGTTCCATCATGTACAGCTCATGCGACCTTCAGCAAGTTATTTCACCCCTTCTAGTTCAGTGTCCTCATCTGTCAAATGGGTAAAAATGCTTGCCTTGCAGGGTGGTTCTGAGGGTGAAGACAGCCTGTCCTTGAATGCCCTGGCCCCTGGGGCATATTGCATGGACACCGAGTAGTTACACAGAAGAGGAAGAGCGCCAGCAGCCCACCACTCTGAGCGCCGACACCATGGGCTCTCTGCCCTAGTCTGCACCCAACCCCAGATTGTCTGTGAAATGGAGAGAGATTCGGGCTCCAAAGACGAGTGTCAGTCCTAACTGCAAACTCTCAGCCAAGTCCCAGCCCTGTAGTGTTGGCTGGAACAAGTCACCTCAGCGCATTAGCTCCACCACAGCCTTAAACTCAACACACCCAGTACAAACTCTCCATCTGTCCCTCACTGCTCCTCCTTGTCCTCACATGTCAAAACCAGCAGACAACCAGTGGCATTGATCAATCAGTTGAATGACTGATTCACTGTGAAATATCTGATAGGCAAATCACAAGACTTGAACCTAAACTACAATTGTGAGCAGCCCATGACATTGTCCACCCAGGGACAGAGGGGGAGAGCTAGGTTCTGCCTGCAGCTTCTGGCTGTTTCTAGAAGCTCTGGAGCAGATGGGCTGCAGGAAAAGCTGTAGGCAGCCTTCCAAGAACTCACTGAGTGACCCATGCAAGTTTCACTAAACACTGTTCACAGGGGCCTACTAAGACTTTGTACTATTTTCCTATTGCTGCTATAACAAATTACCACAAACTTGGTGGCTTAAAACAACACACATTTATTATTTTACAGTTCTGGAGGTTGGGTGTCTGAAATGGGTTCACTGTACTAAAATTCAACTGTTTCTCCTGGAAGCTCTAGGGGAGAATCCTGTCCCTTGCATTATCCGGTTTCTGGAAACCACCAGCATTCGCGGGCTGGTAGCCCCCATCCTCTACATTCGAAATTAGCAGCATAGCATTTTCCAGTCTCTGGCTCTCACCCTCCTGCCTCGCTCTTATGAGGACCCCTGTGGTTACACTGGGCCCACTGGGATAATCCAGGATGGTCTCCCCATCTCAAGATCCTTACCTTATTCACATTTGCCAAGTCCCTTTTGTCTTGTAAGGTAACGTATTCACAGATTCTGAGAATTAGGATGTGGACATCTTTAGAGGGGCATTATTCGGCCTACCACAGATCCTGAGTAGGATGAGCTTGGTTTGGGGGCACCAGGCTGGAGCTCAGCCTCCTGCCTCCCTACCGACTCTGTTCAAAGTAGAATTCAATGTGGGCCAAAGGCTCACTCTCCTTGACAATTCGTATTGGCTGCTGGGACTCAGCTGGACCACAGAGAAACCAGCCAGGCCAGGCCGCGGCCTCAAGCCTGAAGGCTGAGCCTGAGCTTCTCTGGAAGAAGGTGAAGCGTGTGGCTTCTTCACCACCCTTGTACAGATCCTCGATGTTCACATCCTGTGGGGGCAAGATGGCTGCTGCAGGATAAGGCCACTGGTTGAGATATCAGCCCTAGAGGCCCCCAGGGAGTGGCCAATGAGGGACTTTACAGGGAGGGTCAGTACCCAGGTCAGTGCCTTCTGCAGGTTCTGGAGGGCAGGGGTCTTGGCACTAGGTGCAGAGAGAAGGGGAGGCATGTGTGGACTTGGCTGGGAGCCCACAGATGGGTGCAGAGATGCCAGAGCACCCAGGAAGGTAGGCCATGTCTGTGGGGCACCCCAGAATATTGGTGTGGTTTCTCACCTCCAGCTGCAGGGTAGGCCCCTCTCCTGTCTCCACACAGGCTAGGCAGCGACTGCCTCCCTGGATCCCCAGGAAGATGGGGACTTTGGTGCGGTCCAGGCCTCTGTTGAGAAGTATGCAGATCTTCTCTGGGAGGAAAGAGAGAAGAGAGCCAGGAGATGAAAGGACCTAGATGGCAAGCTCTCAGCGAGCTACACCTGGGCAGAAAAGAGTTGGGCCAAGGCACACCTGGCTTGAACCCTGCATGCAGGCTGCCAGGCAGGCTGGGACCCCTGCAGCTGTCATGACACCCTCAGAAGGAGAGGTCCTCAGCTGCTCCCTGCCTCTTCTCACTGTCACCAGAGGCAGAGGGAAGGGGAGAGCTGGTGGCAGGTGGAGCATGGGTGTGTCTGAGGGGATGGAGGCCCCAGTGGCTCACCTGCACAGCAGTTGTCCACACTGGGATCTCCTACCAGGAGCTGGTCACCTCTTAAGTATAGAGCCTTCTGATCTGCATCCTTAATTCTGGAACAAGATGGTTGTGCTGACAACCTGCTCCCTTCAGGCACCACCAAGCCCCAAAGTCTTCCCACCCCCATGCTCTGAAGTACCACACTGAGCATTTAGGTGTTCTTCTCTCCTATAGGTGAGAAGTAGGTGCATGCCTCCACCCAAGAGTGGGTAAAAATAGGTCAGCCTTAAGGCAAGGGAAGGTCTTCTGGAGCTCGTGATTCTCAGAGGCTCCCTTTACCAGCGTCGGCCTCTGTCAGGGCCCTGGGGCAGTGAGGAAAGCCAGTGCCTTCTCATTGATGGGTAGACAGAGTTTTCCTGATTATGCTAGCCCCTTTTCATGCCCTTCCTGAAAAATTTCCTAATGAGGCTCAGATGTCTCTAGGATATAGTGAGCCTTATCCCAGATTTTCTGGGCCTGACCCAAATTTGCATAAATGTTTTATTTTCTTCAGTGAAGAGGATTAATTGAGTGTATAATAAAGTGTGGTTTGTGGGGCGCCTGGGTGCCTCAGTCAGCTAAGCGTCCAACTCTTGATTCTGGCTCTGGTCTTGATCTCAGGGTCATGAGATCAAGCCCCATGTCAGGCTCTGTGCTTAGCGCAGAGTCTGCTTGAGATCCTCTCTCCCTCTCCTCCTGCCCTTTGCATGTGCTCTCTCTCTCTAAAATAAATAAATAAATAAATAAATAAATAAATAAATAAATAAATAAAATCTTTTAAAAAATAAAGTGTGGTGTGCTTTTCAAATATTTTAAAGGCTTTTTTATAGAACAAAATTCACAAATCAGAAAAAAAAATCCTATGTGACAGTAGGTGTACCAACATGGCCACCCTGTTCCATGCAAGGTGTATTTTGGGGTGGCCCCGTGTTATGGGTGCCAAATTTAGGAGGTCAGGAAAGAGCTGGAGCAGGGTGTGATTACAGTCATTTGGGGTTGGCGATGGTTCCAATGATCAGCCTGGGAGGGTACATACGTGCTGGGGAACAGGGAGGAAACCATGGTGAGTGTGTGCAACATCAAAGTCATGCAGGTTATTAGCTCGCAGGTTATTATCTCGGTGGCTTGGCTGGTTTCAAAATGTCAGCCGCTCTCAGGACCTGGGGAGCCCTCCCTATCTCCAAGGGCAGAACCTCTGGGCCAACGTCAACGCCTCCAGATTTTTTTTATCTCAGTAACAACTAATTATAGTACCCTTAGCTAATGATTGTACGTGTGTAAAGAAGGTTCACTTGTACAATAAAAATGAAGATCTGAAAAGAGCCTGGGTTTGCCATTCTCTCTCCAACCTGGACAACCAGGACTTGTGCGGAACTCATCTGCCAGCAACATTCTCTTTGGAGACCAGAATCCAAGTTAGATACCCCAAGGTGACATCTGTTTTGTCATGTGGGTGCTTAGTGCACATGTGTCTTGCCTTCCCAGGCAAATTGTAACTTCCCGGAGGCCCCAGCTGGCCCCCTGGTATCTAGGACAGGGCAGGCCCATGGAGGAGCTGAGAAAATGTGACCCAGAAGTCAGTCCTGTTTTATTTGTGTTATGTCTCATCTCATTTCTCAAAGGGCTAGAGACAGTTTACAAGAAATCACAGGCAATAAAGTGTAAACTATAAGGAAAGTCTCGAATGTCAAATGAGGTAAAAGGGATAGTTGGGAGTGCAGACAGGGAGGAAAGGCCACAGAGGCCAACATACAAAGATGCCGTCACTGAGATTCAAAATTGTCTCTGAGCTCTTGGAGAGAGGAGGACAGAGCGGCATAGGGGGTGAGTCCTGGCTCTGTGTGACATGAGGTAATTTATTTAACATCTTTGAGCTTTAGTTTCCAAATCTGAATGGACTCAGTCATGCCCCCCTTGTAGGTTACTCAGGAGGAAGGCAAGGCAGCAGAAGGTCTGGTATCTTGCAGATGGTTAGGAAAGAGAGCTATTGTGATGAGGATGAGGATTAAGCTTAATTATGGGGCACTTGAGATTTCTTGGGTGAGATGGAGCCGCATCTCTCCCCTCAGGCTTCTTTCCCTCTTCCCACATCATCCCCAGGCCCCTGGTTCAGAGAGGGAGGACTCCAGGAAGACTTACATGTAGTATCTTGCCATGGGGAGGGAGCACATTCCTGCAGTTGAGGGCGACTGGTCCTTGCTGAGGGGGAAGGAGAGAAGGGCTGTTAGAGAAGGGTGGGTAGAGCTGGGGGGCAGACCCCTTGGCGGCCCCCAAATCACCAAATCACAGGGTGGAAAAATCTCACTAGGCTGCTTATCTATAACTGGTCTGCCAGAATCCTCCATGATCTCCCCAGCTCAGTAAGTTCCAGGCAGCTCTGCTTCACCCTCCTTTGGGGCCAACTGACCGGGGTATGGGCCCATGACGTGCGCATGGTGCTAGCTTGGGGAAACTGAAGAACAGGTTCCCCAAAGAGTTTAGACAGGAGTACTTCCTGGAGCTGAGATTGAGGTGGGGCGTGCTCCAGTCTCACAGTTTGAGGATGAGCTGGACTCAAACCCTATCCCACTGCCCAGCCTGGCACTAAAGTCACCTGAAGGTTCTGATTCACCAGAGCTTAAAGTGACTCCATGAACAGCCAGGCTTGGGAACTGGTATACCATCTCAGTTTTTCTCACTCTCCGGTGAACATATAAATCACCTGCCAGTTCTGGTTCCCTGGGTCTGGGCTGGAACCTGAGACTGTGCATTTCAAACATGCAACCAAGTGATATGAACACAGCTGGTCCCTGGCCACACTTTGAGTAGCAAAGGACTAGATAGAGGACCTCCCAGCCCAGACAGGCCATCAGCAGCGTGGCCTCAATGCAAGCACACTTGATGCTGTTCTCTCTCTCAGCCAAACTACTGGGGCTCTTTTGGTTGCAGCAGCAAAACTAATGGGCAGGCTAGTAGCTATACCAAGGTCTGGCCAGGACAGATCAAGTGGAGGGCTCTGTGTGAGGATGATGACTCCCACTCTTGGTCAATGTGAGCACAAGGGGCAGGCAGAAATTCAGTGCTGGTCCAGTCTAGCTTGATCTCCAGGGGCCCCAGAAGCCTCCTGTCCTGGCCCAAACCCAAAATCCCAGTATTTCTCCCAAAGACTGTCATATCAGGCAGCCCCTCCTGGGTTCTGGCTAGACTGTGATGAGGTGAATAGGAGTGAGAAGCCAGCTTCTAGTCCATCAGAGAGCCTGGTGTCCTGGTGCTAAGCATCTGCCATCGTCCCTCCCAATGCACCACACAATCCATCCCCTAAGCTTTCCCTTCCCTATTGTCCTTTCCCTGAACTCTGGCCTATTGTCCTCCCTGGACACCATCTCTGGCTGTCTCAGACTTCATCAATCCACCTGTCCTGAGTCAAAAACCACCCCCCAAGTAGCACTGAGCTTTCTCCATCACATCCTCTCCTTGCTCTCCTACACGTTTTCTATGTGGACTATGTTCTCTCCAAGACCAATATTAACTTCTGTGGAGTCAAATCAAAAGACTCTTGTTTCTTCTGATATTTGGCTTCTGCCTCCTCAGAGCTCTTGACATTAATTGACTCCCTTCACACTTCCATTTTCCCCTTCTCAGGTCTGTGTAGATTCTCCCTTCCATTTGGTGGTATCCCTAAGGCTGGAAGCCACAAGTCTAAGTTCTAAGCACTTCTCTCTCATACCCCATGAGTTGCCATTCATCCATTTCCACAGCTGCAGTGATCATATTGGTCTAAAGCCTCCCAAGTCCCAACTGAACGTGATACTTTATCTCCAACAGTCTACAGGACACCTCCCTTTGGACTTCTTGCCATTACACCCAACCAAATAGATCTGAAGTCAAATCAATCTTCTCCTCCTCCCAGCCCATTCACCTCCCCCCTTCTCCTTACTCTGTCTGATTTGCCAACAAGTTCTGATAAATTATTCTTTAAAATGTAATTTTGTCTTCTTTTTTTTAAAGATTTATTTACTTACTTGAGAGAGAGAGAGCGAGAGCACATGCACATGAGTGGGAAGAGGCAGAGGTAGATAGAGAGAGAGAATCTCAAGCAGACTCCATGCTGAGCATGGACCTGAGCTGAAATCAAGAGTTGGATGTTTAACCAACTGTGCCACCCAGGTGCCCCTAAAATGTAACTTTGTCTTCTTAATAGCCATTGTACCTGTGCCTGTATTCCTGGCTTTTCTACCTTCAGTCCAGCCCAACCTATGTGAGGTACCTGGACCTATATTCTAGGTATTGCTTTCACAACATCTCCACCCAGCTCTAGAGTCTACAGTGGCTGCCCATTTCACCACCATTTGGCCCTGATTCACTTGTATGAGTGTATCTCACTTCTCTGTGGACACTAAACCACCCCTCCAGGCACATGCCTTCTTTCTTCCCTGTGGGCATGCTCATAGTTGTCTTTGATTTCCCTGCCACAAAAGCCATCCCCCCTCCTTGCCACCCATTCAGGTCTTTTGGCATTAGAGGCACTGGATATGGTATCATTTATCTATAGGCTGAGTCTCTAGTTCTGCCAAATTAATTATCAGGTCAGAGTAACAGCTCAGACATACAAGGTTATGTCACCTCACCTCCAATTCTCAGTTTCAGCAACTATAAAATCATGGAATTAGAGTCTGTGGTTATTAAGATTCTTCCAGATCAAATGATCTATGATTCCATGACTCAGAGTTTAATGAATCTTTCCTTTACTCTTGCAACCCTACTCTGAAATCCTATTAAATTTCACTGTCTTATGTATTGTTCTATATACAGACATTTGTTTCCCTTATAAAAGTTAACAACATCTTGATCCAACTCCCTCCAACCACCCTGACACACATATATGCTTACAAGCAAGACATAGAAACACACACAAAAGATTTCGATGGCCAGGTTGGGTTCTAGACCTAGCTTTGCTACCAATTTGGCTTGCTACCTTAGAAAGTCCCCTTTAGTCCCTGGGCCTCCAACTTGTTATCATTAGGAGGAGAGGCTGGGCAAGGTCAGTATTTTTCAAAACAAAGTTTCACAATGAAAATTTACACAGAAATCTAATGAAAGTAAAATGGATAAAGGGAACTTGCTTTTGCTGAATCAGAGAATGAGGGTGATACCAGAACCCTGACCTTGACCACTAAAGCAGGCACTGGGGCATATCTAACAAACCCCAAGCCTCACCACACACTGTTGAATACCACTGGCCTGGCTGATTTCTTCTGAAATTACTTCCTAAAATCTACGTTCTAAATATTTAAAAATCTTGACTTGGTTTAACCCATGCCTTCTCTCAAATTCTTTCTATGTGCTCCCAGACTTATTTAGCATCCCATGATGTTCTGTGGAGGGGATACCTTGTTACCTAAAGAGCTTGCCAGGAGGAGTTAGGGAGGGGGCATACCAGAGATATTGACAGAAAGGAGAAGGAAAGCGAGAAGGAGAGATAGAATACTGCCTATCAACCACTGACCTGCAATCCTGGGTGCCTGGAACGTCCAACTGATTTCTCCAGGGCATCTGCCCCAAGTTTATACTGTCTGGTCAGGGTGGGTCAAGCCTGCTGCAATCTTTATAATTGGCTCTAGGATAGGAAAGAAGAGCCTAGGGATTTCACAATGTCTTTAGCACAGTATGGATAATGAGAAGGTGGGGGCATTAATGAGTGTTTGTTGAAGGGGGAGAGAGTCACCCATAAAGCCTGGCAGAAGCCAGTCACTGGGCCCCTGCTCATAGCTACTATCATTGACACTGTTATTGGTGGTTTCAATAGCCAGATAAATAGTCTTGGGATCAGATGTCTTCATATCACCTTCCCGTTGGTGTCCCACGAGGGTCCATCCTAGGCTTAGAGAGGTAGAAGAGGCAAGAGGGGATGTGTTTAAGGGGCCCAAGGACAGAGCAACCTCTGGTGTTTTAAGCCAGGCTGCAGCCAGCAAGACAACATAAGAGAGGGGACTGATGGCATTGGGAGTATTGCCCTGTTTGGAAAGAAGGGAGGGAAGTCTCTGCTTTTCAACAAGTCCTATTAGTTGTTATCAGGTTGATGAGACAGAACATTTAAGGAAACCCACCTGCAGAGGACATTGACCTTAGATCCATCCTGGGACTGCGCAGCCATAGTGTTCCCTGGAGGGTTAGGACACATGACACCGTGTAAGCAGGACAGGTGTAAAGAGCACCATGTGAGCAGGGCAGGAGTAAAGAGAATACTCAAGCCTCTAATCAATTACTTAACTCAGTAAATCCATCCACCCACCTGTCTGTCCAACCATCCAACCTTCCATCCATCTGTCTACTTGCAAGCGGTGGAGAAGCTTGGCATAGTGTTCTCTGGGGACCATCTGCCTTACCATAATTCTCACTCTTAGGTCATTCAAAGGGCCTGGTAAGAAAGTAGGAGAGGCCAATCCACATGTAGATGCTTAAAGAGTGAAAGATAAGAAAAGATGGGCAGGGAAGGAAGCCAATTTCTGTTTCCTAAGGCCAACAGTCATTCTTCACCCCTCTCCCAGTCTATCTCTCATCTCTCTGTGGAAAGGGCCAATGCATGGGGTATTATGCCAGGCAGTCAATGAGCATTTACTGAGCATTTACACTGCTGTGTGACCAAGATGTGCAATGCATGGTCCCCATTGTTAGGTAGCTTTACAGTTCAGCTGGGGAGCTAAGTCATAAATATTTTAAAAGATAATTAAGAAGACCGGACTCTCTAATCTGCAGGACAAGGGCATATTGGAAACAATAGAGGCAGAGAATCTCCTTGAGTAAAAAAATTCCTAGAATTGAAAGGGCCTTAGACATAGCATATAGGCTCCCTCCAAAGGGAGAAATCTGTGCTACGGCACCCCTGAGACATAGTTAATCCAGCTCTTCTTCAATACCTCCACAACTTCTTGAAGAAACCCTAGCAGTGTGTGGTCCTTGCAGTTAAAATTTTGGGGTCACACATAATTTCTGCTCATCAGTCCTGCTTGTGCCTCCTGGAATTACACAGAACAAGTTTATTTTTCTACTAGGCAGAGCTTTGAGTGTTTGAATGGGGGCTTTCTGTGTATTGCTTCTCCAGGATAAAGACCCTCAGCTTCCTAGCCTCTACCCTAATGACTTGATCGTGGGACACTCTCTACTATTCAGAACACACTCTTAGTCCTCAGTGCCTATGCCTGGCACAAATGCCATGTGATGTGGGCATAATACCTCTGTAAATACAGGTCAAGCGGGGGACTTATATTGAAATTGAAGAAATCTAAAACCACTATGTCTTTTTCATATGAACAATCATGATGCCAAGGTTCCCCAGCCCATACATTCCATTTTACTTTCCTTCTTTTTCTATTGACTCATGTCAGCTCATCCCTGCTAAACCATTTTGAATTCTACCATCCTACAAATGATGAATCAATCACTTTAGGCTGGAGAAAGCTTGCAGACTGAGGTGAAATTTCAGCTGCTCCTTGAAGGGTGGGTCCATTTAGATGGGTGGAGGAGAGAGAAAGAATAGTCCAGGGTGGAGGAATAGTTTCCACATTCTGTACTCACCGGTTTCCAATTATTTGTCAAATGTTATTTGAGATACTTGGAAACAAATAAATACAGCCTTGACCTTGAGGTCATTTCAGGGGCCATAGACCCCAAATCAATTATTACAATGAGGGGAAGTTGGCATAGCAATGTAGCACAGTCAGAGCAGATGACCAGAGATCTCAATTCAGCAAAGGCTTCTTGGAGGAGGTGACAATATGAGACTATGGCTAGGCCCTTGGGCAAAGAAAGAGTGTAAAATGGGTCTGCAGAAACAAGCCTGGTGCCCAGAGCCCGTGTTCTTGGCACTCCTGAGAGGCCTGTGGCAGGACTTGTGCTGTCTGCTACCCAAGGGCTTTGGCTGCATCTGGGCCTCAGCAGCTCCACAGAGACAGACCCTTCTGGTCTGGCCACCTCCTTGCTAGTGCTTCAGCAGAATCTGAACCTGCCAGGCTGGTATGACTGCTGAGGTGCAGGAAGAATACCTGGGGCTCAGATTTAGGCCTCTCCTCTGGCTTCTGTTCTGATCCCTCAGAGTTTAGGCAGGGATGCTGGAGTCACAGTCCCTGGCATGTCCGACTGGAGGTGCAAAGGTAGTCAAGGAAGAGCTAAACCTTGCAGACACAGAGAATATTCAACAACTTTAGTATGGTCAGCTTTTAAATAGAATGTTTGGAGAAACAAAAGGGCTGATGTTGATTTTGAGAAGGAAAATGAAAATATTGGAGAAAACTGCAATCATAATAAAATAAAAGCATTTATTTCTCTTTTCCTGTGTATTAGTTATCTATTGCTGTGTAACAAGTTGGGGCACCTGGATGGCTCAGTCAGTTAAGCATCCGACTCTTGGTTTCAGCTCAAGTCATGATCTCAGGGTCCTGGGATTGAGCCCTGCATCAAGCTCCACCCTCAGCAGGGAGTCTGCTTGAGATTCTCACTCTCCCTCTCCCTCTGCCCACCCCTGTCCCATGTGCACTCTCTCTCTCTCTCTGAAAACATAAACAAATCTTTTTTTTAAAAAACCTTAGCAACTGAAAGCAACAAACATTTATTTTCTCACAGTTTCTGAGAGTTGGGAATCTAGACCAGTTTAGCTAGGTGGTTCTGCTTCAGTGTCTCTCTTGAGGTGGCGATCGAGCTGTCAGCCAGAGTTGCATCATCTGAAGGCCTGACTGTGGCTGGGAGAGCTGCTTTCAAATGCACTCATGTGGCAGTTGGCAGGAGGCTTCATTTTCAACATATGGGTCTCTCTATAGGGCTGCTTATGAGATGGCAGCTGGCTTCCCCCAGAACAAGTAAACAAAGAAACAGAGAAAACAAGATAGAAGCTGCAGAGTCTTTTTTTATAATCTAATCTCAAAAGTAGCATAATATTACTTCTGCCACATTCTGTTAGTCACAGAGACAACACAGGTACAATGTGGGAGGGGACACACACGATGTGAGATGGGGTCAGCAGCAGCTGTGTTGATGTCGTAGGGCTGCCATAACCAATTACCACAAAATTGGTGGTTTAAAACAATGAAAATTTTTGCTCTCATGGTTCAGGAGACTAGAAGCCCTCCTCCCTCTGAAGGCTTTACGGAAGAATTCTTCCTTGCCTCTTCCTAGTTTCTGGTGGTTGCCTCAGGCATGGTATTTCTTGCCTTATTGCCGCATAAATGCAATCTCTGCCTCCATCTTCACATAGACTTCTTCCTGGGTCTCCTGTGTGTCTCCTGTTGCATATGCAGTCATGTTGGATTTAGAGCCCATCCGAATACAGCATGACCTCTTAACTAATTGCATCTGCAAAGAACCTGTCTCCAAATAAGGTCCCAGTCTAAAATTTCCAGAAGGACATGAATTTCAACCAGCATGGGACACTTTGGAGGCTGAAACCCACACCCTGCAATCTCAGGGGGCTATGACCACTCTAGGTCTAGGATTATTCTTTCTATAAATTCCTTTTCCAGGAGATTCCAACCACACTAACTCATCATATTCTCTTTCTTCACAGCTTTGCTGAGGTCTGTGTACTGATTCTGTCACAGCTGACCAGAGCAGCAGAGCTCAATTCAATTTGAATTTCACTCAGGGAAGTGGATGCTGAAGATGATTAGAAATATTGTCTGCTCTGTTTTCCTTAAGATTAACTTACTTATTACACAAAGAGTTCATCTTCATTGTAGAACAGTTAGAAAATGTTTAAATAAAAGAATAAAAAGAAAAATCACCTGTAATTGCTAAATTGACATTGCTAAAATTGAAGTAAACTCTTTTGGACTTTTTTTCTATATGAAGAAATATATAGATAGGTATTTTTTTAATTAAAATGAAATTACAAGATATGCTAATTTGTAATTTGCTCTTCTTAATATGTCACAAGCATCTTTCCATGTGAATAGATACCAGTATCTTGGATTCTAATGGCACCTCAGGTTTCAAAACATATGACATGCCTGGCCATTCTTCAGCCTTCTGAGCTGTAGTCAATTCCTTGGACACCACCACTCTCTCCTGCCATGGCTAACGCATGAGGGTTGAGATGGAAAATGTAGAATATGATGGCAGCTGAGTCACAGGAAAGAGGGAGGGGGCTGGGTTTTGGGTCTCTAACTCTATGACCTCCCTCTCCTGCATAGTGATAGATGACAGGTCCTCATGTGGGCAGCTGGTGGCCCTAATAGGCTCAACTTGGGATTGGCTGGCTTGTGGGGCTCAGGGGTACTGGGTAAGTTACCAGGAAGCATGAAGGGTTTCCAACACTCCCCCCACCCCAACCCCTGGGAAACTTTTTATGTGACTTCCAGTTTATCTTGAGTGGTTTTTGCAAGGTTCTACACCAGTAGCACCACTCAATAGGGAAAGAAACTGTGGACTAAGCCCCAGATCTCAGAAGGATTTACCCAAACTGGGAATCAAAAGGGAGAGTGGCCAAGTACCCAGCCAGAGGTGGGGCCCTGAGAACAGATGGGGGGATGGTTGCCATCAGTGTCCTCCTCTACCTCCGCCCCTGCCTGAGCCGGCTCTGCCCAGGTAGGTTCTGGGGGGTGCATTGCCCTAGTCACACTGCTGGAAGTAGAAGTCTGTGATGGGGTTGCCCCAGCTGGCATCCTCTGAGAGTTGGGTAAGTCTGAGAGGCTGGTCTGCTTCGGGCACAGTGCAGAGGAACCAGCCTGGGTAGGCAGCTGACTCGAAGCTGGAGGTGAGCCCTGTGTCCCGCCGGTAGAAAGTGAAGCTCTTAGATTCGTTGGCACCAAGGTAGAGTTTCATGATGTTTACTGGCTGTGAGTGGAGAGGCACGGCAGGTGAGGGGAAGGAGCGGAGGAGGCAGGAGAGCTGGGCCATGGGCATGGAGAGGCAGGGCTGTCATCAACAGAACCCTGCCAGGGAGAGGATCAGGCCCCAGGATGCCTGGCCCAGTGGCTTCAGCATCTGCTGGCTTAGTGAAGTCAGATAGCAAGGATGCCCTAACAGGACTCACCTCTAGTTTTAGAGTCGGTTCCTGCCCTGTCCCACACGACAGGCACTGGCTCCCTCCCTGGATGCCCAGGATGACTGGAGACAGCTTGGCATCCAGAGACCGGTTGGGGACAACACTGATCTCCTCACCTAGAGAAAGGAAGCCAGAGTCAGGGTCCCTGACTGCCCTTCCCTCCCTCTCCCCAAATCGTGGACTTTGAAGCACAAGACCTACATGAGACATTCTGTCCCCAGACTGGGCAGGTAGGAAGCCTGGTAGCAGCTGTCATCTAGGGAAGGGTGGTCTCCTGCCAGTTGGCCCAATGACATCAAGGCATGTAAGCACATTGTACCATCTCCCACCCCTAGCCCACCCCCTTGTCCAGGCTCAAACCTTCAAGTCTTCTCTAACCCCCAGGAGAGATCTGACCACCTCCTTTAATGCCTCTTGACCCTCTGGCCTTGTTTTGGAAACTCAATTTGATAAGCCTCTCATCAGAGTTATTTGGACATGTTTGTACCAACATGAGAACAGAAGAGGGTCTCATTCCTCTCTGTATCACACATACAAACCTACCCTATCACATACCACACATACAAACACATACACACACACGCTCACATACATGCATGCATGCATACACAGTGTACACACACACACACACACACACACACACACACACACACACACACACACACACACACACTGCCTGGCCCCAGAGCCCAGTAAATGTGTCCCAAGTGGGCAGGTATGTGCTATTTTAGAGAGAAGGCCTGTCATGGTGTCTGGGGCATGAGGCCAGATGGTGCCACCTGCTATCTGGGTCCTATCACTCTGAGGGACCAGGAATCCCCAGAAAGCAGAGGGAACCCAGGGCAAAGGGATAGAAAGCCACTCCCGTATGGGAATAAAGGCCTAGGAGCCTATTTTAGATCTCTCCTCAGCACTTGCTCCCAGGAAAAGGAATGTTTGGCCTAAGTCTACCTATGAGGGAAGAACAAAGCATTCATCCTGGAAAATATTCCCACCTTTGCATAGAGACTTCAGGTGACAATGGGGTAGGCGTCCTCACTTTGCTGGAAGGTGTAGTATTTTATTTGTCCTTGTTCAGAGCCTGCTTTTATGATGCCCATCTACTGTGTCAGGCCTGGGACCTGTAGGCCTGTGCCAGTTTGCATAGCTATTCCAAGCCCTCTCCAGGCCCCCTCCCCTCAGAGTGTATAGAGACCTAGGGAAGTAGGGTCATGTTTTGCCACCAACCTTTGATGACCTTCCCTGCATGCAGCCCTCCGGCTAGAAGCTGGTTATCATGCAGATAAAGCACCTTCAAGGCCGCATCCTTCATTCTGAAACATCAAGACAGGATGACGCTTAGTTAGGGGAGGGGTGGGTGCTCGGGCTTGCTGGGCTCTACAGAAGTAACCACCCAACCTTCTCTGCCCACCCTGCTGGGCTCATACCCTACTAATGGGATAACAATAGCCTCCCATCTGAGTCTTCACCCTATTCAATCTTTTCTACACCAACCAATCTCCTCCATTTGTGATGCTGGAAAAGAAACTGGACTGTGAGTCAGAATCCTGTGTTCTTATCTGGCTGTGCCGCCACTGCTGCTGAGTCCCAACAGACAAGTTGCTTGCCCTCTCTGGGCCTGAGTTTCCCTGTTGCTAATTAAGACAATGGGTTAGATAAAACCCAAGCCTCTTCCAGATGAAAATCTGATTCTTCAATCATTATTGAAGACGTCAAGGCACATTTACTGTCACCTATTAAGTGAGGAATATCTTTAAATTTAAAATTCTTGGGGCGCCTGAGTGGCACAGTCAGTTGAGCGTCAGATTCTTGGTTTGGGCCATGTTGTGATCTCAGTGTCATGAGATCAGCCCTGCGTTGCGCTCGCGCTCAGTCTGAAGTCTGCTTAAGTTCCTCTCTCCCTCTCCTTCTGCCCCTTCCCACTGTGCACTCTCTCTCTTTCAAATAAATAAATAAATCTTTAAAAAATAAAAATAAAATAATACATTTAAAATTCTTTCATTTTACTTTTCAAATTTATTTCTCATCTCTGATTTCAGTTGATTTTTTGACATCTTGTGAGGAGAAAAATATATCCTAAAATGGGTTTCTTCAGGTGTTATATGGAAATAAGTATGCTGTGTGCAAATTGGTTCAATGGTGGCTAAACACAAACAAATCTCATTCAGTTATTAATATATTGAACTGCACCATGGTTCTCTTATAAGAAGACACAGAGAGCAGATTTCCCACATTTCTCAATCAAGGAGCGCCACTATATAAAGCAACTCCTAGGGTTGTGGCTCCACAGAACCCACCTTGGGAAAAGCTATGTTAGACTCTGAGTTCAGAGAGAACTAGGACCATTTTCACTCACTAGTGCAAAGTCCAGAACACAGCAGACCGCCTGGCTCAGCACAGGCCAGCAGACAGACAGACTGACTGACCAAATAGTTTTGTTGTTGTTTTGCCCCAAAGGGCAACAGGGAGGTAGTGGAGCAGAGTGACATCAATTCACCCCAGTGGGTGGTAACAGCTCTGAGCTGGGTCTCCTGACTTCCATTCTTATCATGGATATGTGGGGCTGAAGCTCTACACAGAGTGATTCACTTGCTCCCCCTTCTCGTCAGGGAACCCCCATGAGGTGGCCAGCCCCAGCCTGACAAAGGCTGGAAAAATTTCTCTTAGGACAACAAGGGGCTGTTCACAACTTCCCAGCTGCTCACCCACCTATGAGAGCCCCAACTCTGGGCAGGTGCAGCCCTTCCCTACCCAGAAAGTATGGACAACAGGTCTACCTGGAACTTATTTCCCACAGAGGACACAGCCAGTCAGATGTTCAGATACTCACCGGAAGCACAACGCCCCACTCAGGACCATCTTGAGCTTCACAGTGTGTAGACTCTCCTATTCTGAAATAACACAAAATCTTAAGTGGCAATAGAGGCTGGGCTGGAAGGGGCCTGAGTAGCAAACAGCCTTCTGACCCCACCACCCCTCTCTCCAGCATGTGAACATCCCCCACAGAGCAGGGGATTCTAGGTCTGGGGTCAAGAGAGAGCCCCAGTCCTGCTGGGGAGAATGAAACCCAGCTCCCCAAAGGACACCTCAGAATGCTCCTTTCTCCTGGCAGAGCCTGTGGTATCTGCCTGCTCCTCTGGGATGCCTCAGCCCTTTTAATAATGCACTAGGGAGGAGCCCCTGAAACTGCCACAAGCTGAGGAGGAGCAGGGTTTCCCAGGTATTTCACACCACCCTAAGCCTTCAGAAACACCTGCGCTTCATTACCTCTCCCAAGGAAGGTAGGTTCTGGAGATAGCCTTCTTTCAGCAATTCTGATGAACTTGCCAGGGGCTTTCAAGCTCTTTGTGAGCACTCAGCTCCTGGACCTGGGTCACTTCCAGACCCAAAGACTTCAGTGCAAATAGCCACTCAAGGAAAGAAGATTTTAGAATAAATCCCCTTTTCTCCCCCTTCCTTCCCTCCTTTCCTTCCTTCCTTCCTTCCTTCCTTCCTTCCTTCCTTCCTTCCTTCCTTCCTTCCTTCCTTCCTTTGCCAGGCTTATGGAA